AAGAGATCAGTGGGAGAGAACACACTTGTGCTAATAAACATGCATGTTTCACCTATAAATATCTCCTCACCTAACAACAGATGATCAGCCTGGAAAAGACTGAAAACTGCTGGGTTATGATGCTACCAGAAGCCAAGTGTTTCAGCAACACAGCCCAAAATGAAGCCCAGACTGGAAAGAAGTGAGCAGAACACAATGTAGATCCATTTCCCAGCTCAGGCAGAGAGCCCAAAGTGCAGCTAAGGCTGCAGCGCTGTCCCAGAGACACCTATGACACAGCAGTATGTGTTGGACAGAGAGGTGCAGATGCAGCTGTTTGGCTGCTCCTTTCTCACTGTTGCCTGCCAGACAGTGCTAAAGTGGTAAATCTTTGTGCCAAATAACAGTGCTGTCATATACAGGAATGGGCACCTCTGAGCTTCCCTTCTGGGTGATAAATGTACAGCAAGAGCAAAATAATCTGATGCTTACAAGCAGAACTCATTTAGCTGGAAGAGACTTAGAATTAATGGGAAACCAAATGCAAAAACAAAGGCTGGTGTGATGGAGTGAGAAGAGCTGATAAACTACAGACTACAAAATATGTCTCTATGGGACCTTAAAACTAAAGGCTGAAGCTGCAGAGGAAGATACTACCCCCTCATATAATCTCTTCTTTGTTCTCTGCATCTCAAGTCTGCAATTTTGGTCAGGGACCACCTATGCTCTGCAGTGTGAACTGTTCAGCACTGTGGTGCTCCCATCCCTCCAAAAGGCCTTCAGGCACATAAAGCTTTCCAAAACCTTACTAGCCTGCTCTTAATAAGCCCCTTTGAAAGATGCTGGGCTGGGATCTTGGGAAAAAGATTGCTCATAGTCTAGTTCCACAGTCACTAAAAGAGTAGGGAAAGGTTTCCTAATAGCCCATTTCTACTAGAAAGAAATGTCTGTTGAGAAAGCAATGCACTTGCAGGAACCTCTGTCCCTACCTCAGAGGTTATAAATTCTTTAGACAGAGACTGTCATTTTCTATGTATTAGTGCAGCATCCAGCTGAGTGGACATCTGCATGCTCTCAGAATAATAATGACAATCATTCCATGCTTTGTGCTGCTCTGAAGGACGGTGGTGGCACAAGCCCTGGGTAAGGAGTCTGAAATAGTTCTCTTGACAGATGCTGTAGTTGTGAGGAGCAGTGCAATAATTCAATTGAGAAGCTGTTCTGCCTCCTGGTAATGAAGCCAGCCAAGCAGCTGGCAGCAACCTGGTCTGTGGACACCCCAAAGCAGAGGAATGCCACATGGGGAGGCAGCTATGCCATCCCACATCCCCTTCAGGCTGAATTTGTGGGAGAACAGACCAATACCCATGCTGTTACAGATGAAAATAAAAATTCTTTTCAATGTGAGAATGTTTTCAAGGCTGCAAGAGTGAGAAAAGCAATTCCTCAGAGTTACTTCCAACCCAATGGCCATTTAAACTATCTGCACTATGATCAACTTTGAAAAATGTTCCAATTTCCCACATGTGAATCTGTATGCTGGGCAGATTCTGAACAGAAGAGTCTCTGAACAGAAGAGTTAAACTGTGAGTGCTAGATGAGAGCTGCCAGAGGGAACATAAGCCTTGTTACTGAGATTAACAAATAATAAATCATTACACTGGCACTCTCCACAACTGATGGTTAATTGATTAGTGTTTGGCAAGTGCACTGGCAAGTTAAGTATTATTATTAATGATAATATAAGGGATATTTCTTTTTCTAGTCTGAAATACGTTTTTCTCAACATAATAAGTAGGTACAAATTTGTTGGGAATGCCCTTTTGCAAACAGAGGGCAAATGGCTGCCCACCCAAGGTGACTGTGTGGTTTTGTAAGCAGAAGTAGAAAATATCCCTCCCACACAGGTGCCTGCATACAAACACACTGTAACACTCACTCCCATGAACTTGCTGCATGTCTTGTGCTATTCTGCTTCACATAAACTGGTAAGAGGTAGGCGAAGAAGGATCAGCTATATCCCAGATCCATCACAGAAGCCAGCACTGAAGGATACAAATGGCCAGAAGGCATGGGTTTTTTGTTAGTTCCAAAGCTGGGAACAAACCCAAACTAAAAAAAAAACCAACAACCCAACAAACTCAAACTAAAAAGAAACACCATGACCCAGACCCTGCTGATTAGCACAGCAGTTAGTTTCACATCCAGGAACAGCAGGGAGATGCAAACCCTGCCATTTTAGTGAGCAGCAGCACCAGGATCCCACAGAGACATAGTCACTGACAGCATCTAAGATCTAGGTCGGTAGCAGGGACCTTGGCAGCTCTGAAAGCTCTAGTGCCAGTCTGGGACTCTGGAGCTTTCTCTGTATCCTTATTCTTACATATTTGCCCAGCAGCTCCATCCAAGCCACAGAGCCAAGAGGTAGGTAGCCCAAGGATCAAGTATGTGGATTCTCAAGAGCTTTATAAGCCAGAGTTTTATAAGTTGCAAAGTTCTTGGCTTTGCAGAGATGCACTTTAAATCCATGCCAGAAATCAAAATTGATTGCCTTAGTTTCAATTTGGATTTCTTTCTGAATTCTAAATTAGCATTTGGGACTCACCAACCTCTGCTTAACTGAAAAAACTTCAAGCTAGGTCTATAGATCCCCTAGCAGGTGATGAGACTGGCAAAGAGAGCTGCAATGCTTGGGCACATTGTCGGGCAGGAGGCGGCCATGGCAGGGATCGTGCTATTGTGAGATAACAACTTTCTCAGCACTGACAAATAAACTAACTCAGACTCAGTTCTCCTTTTAATGCTTGACAAGGACTAAATTGAGTGTTCCCAACTAAAGAAGCACTCATTAAGGAGCTCAATAAGGCCAAATGAGTACTTTGGTGACGCAGAGCCTGAAGCCTTTCTACAGAATTGAGACTTTGTTTAACAACCCTGCTGCCGAGCCCTGGGTGAGACACACAGGCGTTGTCTGCTCACCTGTGCATCCAGTTCCATGATGTGAGCTACTTTGTTCCAGCCAAATCCAACAAACCGCCTGTCATACTCCGGGCAGTCCTTCCTCACAACAACGTATGGCTCAAAGTCTGCTTCCCACTCGACGCGGTAGGGAGTGGTGGCTGTTCGCCACTTGGCAAAGTTCGTTGGCGCATGCCCTTTCGTCCAGACGTGGTACCTTAAACAGACAGAAATGGCAGGGACGTGGGGAGGCAATTAGAGAGCACACATCTTGGCAAGGCAACGAAATATTACTTGTTAGATGAAATGCTCAAAAATAAGGTCATTAGCTTGCAGTTCACATCATCATTTTCAGGACATATAGGAGACAATTTCTAGGACAATTTCCAGCACGCTTCCCAGAGCATGCTCAGTGCTTAAACACATCTAGTTGGTGAAGGATAGTGTGAAAACACTACCTAATGCTAATGTAAGAAAGAATTACAAAGTACACAGGCAGTTCATCTGCACTACAAAGTGCTATGTCTTGTTCCTAGCAACCAAGCAGCTGTATCAGTGCTCTAAAATCAGTGCAAAATTCTGTGGCTCATATAGCATCCTAAAACCACATAGAAAAAGTTCTATTTCTATACGATAGTGACACTCATGATCTGTTTCATATGCAATTTTATAATTTGTATGAGAGACACCTGCAGCTCTGGATAAGTGTTCCGTTTTATTAATTACTGTTGTAACTATGGTAGGAGCCAAAGTACATAATTAAATTATTAAGTAAAATATTACATAAGGGCTTCTGATGCACTTTCTACGTTGTGGGGTGTACCCATGTGATCCTGAGCAAGGTAATAAATCTGATTCAGAGAAAAAGATCCTTTTATGCTTCGCTAATCTTGTTCAGGTCACAGCAGGTCCCTTCCAAAACCAGCTTGAATCCACCCCATTAGTGCCAGGGCCAACGACTCTCTCACCCACTTATTCTTCTTACACCTTTCTAAAAATCAATGGGACAGGCTCTTTCTGTAGACTCATAGATTAAATAATGAAACAAAGGCCTAGCAGGCCTTCTGTATTACAACACTCTGATATGTGTAACAGAAGGGGCAAAACAAACAACATGCCAGTTTGTAATATTAGGTGCATTGAATTCACAGGGACGCCTCATACTAAAGTAAAGGGATTTGAGCATTAAATATTTGAAGAATTAGGACCTGTGGTAATGTTTCAACTCCAGAAAGCCACTGCTAAAAACAGGGACATAAAACCACAAACTAGGAATTTCCACTTTAACTGGATATTCATATGGCTTATAACAGGATAAACAGGGAGGTGTTCAGCTTCGCTGACTCTCCTTGCTCAGGGGCAATGCAGGAGGGCAGAATTATGTAGATAGCACTGGGGTCCCAAGTAATCTATGGTCCTTTGAAGGCTGCATTTCAAAACTGTAAACAGGTTGCATCACTTTCAGATATCTGGCTTGGGGACCTGGAAAAACAAAGACCTTCTGTATTAAAACCACTGACAGTGAATTAACTCTTTAGAGGTTATCAGAAACCAGTGCCAGATTCACAAAGTCACTTACAATCCTTAATGCCCTTTGGAATAATCTCCAAAATGCTTATCCCATTTACTGGTCTCTTTCAGAAATGAGTTGGTAAACTATTCAGTCACTAATGGGAAGCAATCTATGCCGGAAAAAAGCACAATCACCATGTGGGGTTTAAAATTATATGGGATTGTGGAGGATGCTGTATCTTAGAACATCCTACCTCCGGCATTTTGAAATTAATTATGATAATAATAATAATGACTATGAAACACTTACAAAGTGATTTGTCTCTTCAGAGCCCCATACAAACTTTGATAATTGAGAGATTCCTGCAGAGAAACAGTCAAATGCTGCTGCTATTCTAGTAACACTCTCCCACTGATTTAAACAGGAGGGGAACATGACACTAACCATAAAAAAACACATTGATTTCTTTCCACCTTTTGTGGGGGAAAGCAGTATAATCAGTTACAGCAACTCAGGTATAACCTCTCTGTGCTGAGAATTCTGACCCACAGGAAAAAAAAAGGGGGAGAGATAATGAAGGGAAAACATGGAAGTGAGATAGGAGAGACTAAACAAAGCAGAAAGGAAGGAAGAGACCTGACTTTACCAAGCAAAATAACACCAGAGATTATGTGCTTGCCTTTTCAGAGTGATTGATGTGAGTGGAGAGCAAGAGGAAGACAAAGGGATGGCTAAGGTCAGGACAAAGGAAAATTAATACAGGATGCTCAAATAAGTTATGTGCACATTAATTATGAAGTAATAATTAGACTGGAAACAAGAATTGTGAGACTCAGGATTACATGTATCTGTACAAACAATATATATGGGTGTACACATACATATGCATATACCCACATATATAATCTGCTGGAGCTGTCCTGGGCAATGGCTGATCATCACATGAAAGGTACTGCTAAGTAAGACATGCAGACATCATTACATGCATATCCTTATAGAGGAAGCTACCAGAAAAGAGTAATTTCCAACAGAGTTTAGTCTTGATGATTCAGTTATGAGGAGTGGTTCACTGTCTGCTTTGGTCTTCCATCTCATAGGACAAATTAATAAATCTAATTTTTCCTGCTCAGGCCCTTCTCGCTCAAGATGTAGGTACACACTGAATTTTAAGGCCACGCTCAGTCTCACTGACTGACTCCCAGAAGTGCTTTGTGAAACTTGTGAACAACATATTTTTCACTTCACTGGCAATTTTGACAAATCCAAACAAAATAATTTGATCTCTGTAATCAAGTGCACAAAACCTGCTGTCTTTGGGTCAAATGTTTCATCTTACTTTCATAATCAATTGATTTTATTTTAAAACTATAGTAAACTTTGCTAAAATTAGTAAAACTAAATTGTTACTCCTCTCAGACCATTTTTCTTCCCTGCCTTGTCCCTTGAACCTTCCCGTTTCAGTAAGAGAGATGTTTTGGTGAAAGAAACATTTTCCCAGTTCTGTTCTTGAATGCTTAAACATTCTGCTGGATTGTGGATGCAATCAGTTGATTAGTTAATCAGTTGTTGCTGGTCATGTTTTCTCAATATGATGAGTCTTCTCCCAGCTGTGGTTTTCCTTGTGCCTAAAAGCTGTGTTGGCAGCACATTTGTGGTACATCAGCTATTACCTAGGCACTGAGGGAGGACATCCTTGTGAGGCACAGGCACAGTCAGCACCTGCAAACAAGGCCAGCAAGCTGGCACAAAGCAACCCAGTGCCACAGAAGGTTTCCATACAGCACCCCTTGCCAGCTGTCGATGTTCACATGTCTTCCCTTTTCTTCTTGTGGTGAGTGGGGGGTGTAATTGAGAGCTGTTTTGTAGTTCTTAGCTGCCCAGAGGTAGAAAAGGTCACCAGTTGGAAAAGAGGTGACAAAAGCAATTTCAGTGAGGGAAAGATTATAATCTACCATGTGGTGTGAGGGACTGGGATGCTGCAGGCACTCTCAGCAATCACTGTCACAGCAGTCCTCCCCAGCTCACTCCCACCCGCTCAGCCTCGAATTGCAGAGTTATTAAAGCACCTTGAAGGTGGAGGTGGAAATTCTCAGCCCAGACCACAGCTGCTTTGTGGCTGTTGATAGATTTGAGCAATGAAATGAGCCAAAGCAAAGTGGGGAAGCATTTGTAAAATGTGTCCTACATTAATATGTACACCAGCTACAGACTGCACGTCCTTCAATTCTTATTTAACCTTGCTCTGGCAAAACTCCCACTGATACTAAAAAGATTTTTGCCTGAGTGAGACTTGAGAAAGAATCTGCAAATCTGGCTGTGTATGTAACATGACAAGATGCTGTATAGCTCGAAGATGAAATCTGTAGTGGAAGGCCACTGCTGTGAAAGCTGAAAATTTGACTGTTGGTGGAATGTAACATCTGAAAATCCTGAGGGGGTTATTTTGCACTGGAAGGATCTTTTTTTATTTAAACTGTGGGATAAACAATTATTTTCTATCTACAAGTTTCTTGCTAATTTGTATGTCTTTGACTGTTAAAGAATCATGTGAGAGCAAAAGGCTCTTGTTCTATCAGTACCTTAAAATATCTTCCAGAGAGAGGCAAGCCTCTCTCAGTTGCCTCAAGTTTCTATTTCAAGGCAGTCATTGGTAGTGTCAGAATTCTGTTTTCCAGCCTCACACAGGCTGTCTGCTACATGTGCATGCAGCCACATGAGGGAAGGGTGGCTACTGCAATGCAAGGTGTGTGATATGGGGAAAGGAAGAAGTGTCAGGAAACCTCTACAGTAAGGGAAGGATGGGAGAGGTGATATAGAACTCCACTAGCCATGGGGAATATCTTGCTTTTTCATAGTTTTTTATCTGTAGATCTCAAAATACTGTAAAAAGGAGAGATGAACATTGTTACCTACATTTCAGAGATGAAGAACAGAGATGTAAGGAAGAGAACTGATTCACATACCATCTCCCAGCAGGGCAGCAGTGGAGCCAAGAAGAGAACGCAGGTCTCCTAAGCCCCCTCTCTGTGCAATATCACAAGGCCATATTGTACTCTTCCCATCACTGTGATGCTTTACAAATGTCTGCTAATCAGACCTTACCACACACACCCAAGAGACAGTTAAGCCCTGGTAGTTGCATTTTAAAACTGAAGAGTCTGGCAGATAATAGATGGGACTTGTTCACAGCCACAAAAGGAGTCTGTTTCAGAGAGAAGCTCCAAATTTAGGTGTTCTTCACTTCTGAACTTCTACTTCTACGCAAGAGTACACTCTTACCTCTGCATTGAGAAATTATAGCTATTTAAGCAGCTGTTTCACACATCAAAAGAGCACACAACAAGCCTGCACTTGTTGTTCTGCTAAGTCAGTAAGGAAGTGAACCAACAAGCAGAGAGAAATTATTTTTGGTCACATAAAGGACATAGCTATTCAGATAGTATTTGGCAGCCAAAAAAGCAAATTACATGCACATGAATGTAATGGTCTCGCTTGATTTTGTGGTGCAATAAAAAATGATGAAAATAAACCAAATTCAATTTAACAACTGAAGTCCTTCAGTAGACGACTATAATACTAGATAAAATGCTGAGCTTATAGATTGAACATATCCACATGTGATTCTGTTCACTGCCTATCTATGAAAAAGAGGAAAAAAACTGAATAGGTTTCTTAATGGAGACAGTTAGCTGGCAGTGAGAGAGAAAAAGCAAATACTCACAAGAACGTAAACAAAAAATCTCATAGGTAATGACCATGGGGTCAACAAAAATACTTTCCATTACCTGAATGTGAAGAGGGTTCCCATGTCCAACATAGACAGTAGCTCTGCTTTTGACTTGGGGAAGGAGAGTCGGTAGCGCAGGGTCTCAAAAGCAGGTACAATCAGAGCTTTCTTGGTGTTAGCCAGGTCTAGCTGGATGACAGACTTCCTGGAAAAAAGAAACAATAAATACAAGCAGGAAAGTTTTAAACTGAGCGAGTCACTTGGGTTTTCAAAATGAAGAGCAGAGAATGGGCAGTTTGATACTGTAAATGTAACTGTGGCCCATATTTTTTTTCCTGGGGGTGCTTCGTATTTTCCTTGACTTTTGATTTACTGCTTTAAGAGGGAGATCAACAGAGTTCAAAAACAGCTTGTATGTTTGACTGAAACTGTTTGACTGATCAATGCTGCCCAGTGTGTCCAGAGCTGAACTAGCAATCTTGAGCATGCCAACTGACCACCCCTTCAAGAGAAACATAGTTGAATGTTACTACATATGTGGGAAAGAGCTGTCCAGTAAATGGTAATTCTAAAAAACATAACTCAGTGGGACTTTACAAGGTGAGAAGCAGTAAAGTTTGGCTGCCTTTCAGCCTAGATATTCTCTGTGCTATGCTGTGGCATCTCACTTGCTTTTTTCCTCTGCTTTAGAGCTCTGTGCTCCCTGCAAGGTGAATGTTACCTCAACATTACTATGAACCAGATACTTGCCCCCAAGAACACTTTTGCCAAGATGGTTGGTTTTTGTCCAAGGTAAGGCACAGGTCGATTGCAACAGGACATGGTGTAAATCAGCAAAGCTGTAAATTAGCAGTATTTTTTTTTACTATTGTTAATCCATGTCCATGGTAGTGTCCAAAGATCAGAGCTCATTATTGCTTGGCTCTACACATAGGGCAAAGAGGCTGTGTCTGCAGAGAGGAGCTGGGCACTAGATGCTCTGAGATACCTGGCTTTTTGCCTTCTTTGGCTGCAAGTTGTTCAGTGCAGAGACTGTTTTGGTGTGCGCAGGTGTTTGTGTGCACATCCTGCATTTTGTACAGTAAAGCCCTTCTCCAGTCAGAGGCCTTAGGACAACTGCTCTAGGAGAGCAACAGCCTAGCAACCTTACGCACTGAATGCCAGGGGTATTTAGTTTATTCTTTCCTAACAAACTAAAACTCAAAGAAGTTACTTTTCCATCCCCAGACCAAATCTTACCATGCTTGTCATTAGAAATAACTCCGTCTCGATTTTTCTTTCATTATCCTCGTATTTCATATGAGAAATATGCCTCTCTCTCCCTGTCAAAGTCAGTTCCCCTTAACAGGATTCACTGTCCTGACTTTTATGTTTCTGCAACAAGCAATCAAAGACAATGTTGACAAGCAGCAAACTCTCTCCAGCTTTATAAGATGAAGGAATTGGGATCACTGTCATAATAACAGAAGGACCAAATAAACCAATTTTTCTAGGCCCAGAATGCCTAAAATTCATTTATATTGCCACAAGAGAAAAAGAAGAATAGCAGAGCTGTTTAATAAAATCTGAATTTTAGAGAATTCACACCACCCTATAGGCCTGTTCTATAAAAAGAAATCTGTTCTCAGAGCTTTACTGCAAAGCTTGCCTTGTTTAAAGAACCTCTGCCACATTCCAGTGAACTTCTCACAACTGAAGGATTTCAACAGCATCTTATTATAACTTTTTTGTACTTTCCTCACTAGCTTCTCCCTCCTCATCACTAATGGCCAAGATATTTGCATGTAAATAGATTACTCCTTCTCAATCAGTCTCCATGACCTTCCAGCTCACTAAGCAGTGCCAGCATCCATTCCTTAGGATGCTCTTAATGTTCCTTCCTCTTCATACCTTCTCTGCAAGCAGGGCACACTAACAAAGTTTCTGTGACAACATCTCAGGCTTTCTGGACTCCGTGCAATCTATCAGCCTTGAGCGGTACAGCTTTGGGGATTCAGTTCTAGAAGGAGGAGGTAATGTTTTCAGTGATGCTCACCTTTTGAGCTCTGCAAGGGAACAGCAGCTTCCATTTATAGCTATTGGTATCTCTTTGATGCAGAGCTCAAAGTACCAGGCAAAAATCAAGGCCTTCCTGTGCTTGGCAGTGTCAGAAAGTAGGAGACAATCCTGCCCACCAAAGTTCACAATCTGAAGTTGAACAAAGCTGAATGTGGTGTAGGTATCAAGACAGGGTAACAGCAAAGATTATCAGACAGAGCAAGTTCTGTTGAACTTAGTGACTCATTTTGTAAGGTATGGGATACAAGCACGAAAATGATTCGGGTATCAAAAATGCTTTCTGCACAATCCCTACTATTGTTACCTGCAAATTTAATATAGGTGTCAATGGCAAAACTGTTGGAAAGAATTATTTTCTTCTTTATGAACCAAAAAGGCAGAGTGAGCAAACTGATAGAATAGACTGAAATCACTTGCACTGTCAACCTCCATATGAAAAGAGGAGAGAAGCACAGGTCTGAAAACAAGATGCTTGTAGTGGATGCAGTCTAACAAAGGAACTAGTGGAAGCACTTCAAGAGTGAAATAATGTAGCAGGATAATCTCTGCAAAATCATTTTTAAGAGATACATGAACATTTGAGGTGCATATTGCTAAGTCCAAAGTGGAAGGGTTGCACCAAAATGTCAAGAAGTCCAGCAGCACTGACCTGCATGTAGAACAGCCTGCCTTACATGACTAGATGACATAAAGGACAATGTAAAGGGAAGAAGGAACCAGTGCTGACATCCAGGCATTGAACCTGAGTGACAAAGAACAACAGAAGCCCCATGAATGGTGATAAAGGCAGAGAGGGTTTGGTAGAGGAAAAAAAACAACTTCCAGTTTCTTCTTGTAACTTGGCTGGTGGTTTGCTCCTTGGAGAACCAGCTGAAAAGCTAACCTCTTCCTCCTGGAAGCAAATCTGCTTTTCCTTTTCTGTTGGATTGACTTTTTTTTCTGCTTTGAGTGGAGGTGCCATTTGCTGGGCAACTGGTTCTGTGATACTTGGAATAGGAAAATTTTCACTGTTGATGTTGCAAGATATATGGAATATAATGTAAGAGATGCATCTAGTTATTTTGTAAACTAGCACTGAGTTAACAGTTTAATTCTTGCTCTATCCTTATGAGAGCTGTTTTTTTTAATTCAGTAATATCAGTGCAGTATTCATTTTCCTGCATCTGTCCTTTTCCCTAAATCCCAAAATAAGGATATGTAATTTTATGAAGAGCTTTCTCTTTGCTAGTGTTGTCCAGGAAACCGTTTCCCAGGCACCTTTTTGTTCAGACCTGGTGCATGTCATTCTGACACAGCAAAGGTTGGGTTAAATTTCTAAATCTATTAATCAGCTGTATTTTTCACAAAGAAGAAACCAATCTTAAGTCACAGGAGTCTCCTCACAGGTTGAACGAATTCCAGCATGTTGGTACCAATCTTTTAATCTCCATAGTCCTTTCCAAAAATAAACACAGAATTCTTGTCCTTATGAGGGCAGATGGTAACATCATTCCCATTTATGGAGAAGTTCAGACACAGAAAAGTCAGCAATCTAATCCTAAAGCACTGAATTCAGAAAAAAAACCCAAAAAACAACAGGATAAAAAAAGAGCCCATTAATTCTAATTAGCTTCCACCATCAGGACTTGGTAAGTGATTAGTTCAAAATCAACGGATCTGACAGTCACTGAATTTGTGGTAAGAGAGTTGTCAGACCACTGTTAAATTCACTAGAAAGTTCTTCTCTGCAAAAGCAATACATCATAGCCTACAAGGAAACCAACAAATAAAAAACAGCAGGCAAAACATGAAGTGTGTCTCTTGTTGACAAGCTGAAGAACAACCAGAAATACTTCACAACTCATATTTCAAGTGACAGGTATAAAACCTGTGGAAAGAGGTTGGATGCCAGGTCCCAATTCATGCTAAATGTGTCACTGGAAGTGAAGGGCATATTTTACATAAATGTGTCAGAAAAGAACTTTAATGCTAGCTATGACAACTGTACATCAGCAGCCTGTCCAGTTATTTTATGTTAGAAGAACCTTTAGGATGACTCACACACCTTACTTGTAGCAACCAGAAAGAGCCTTTACCTCTGAGGCAATGACAAGATGACCTCCATAACTACTCAAGGAAGGGGACAAAAGTCTTCAGCTCAGCACAGACTGTGAAAGTGTCTGAGTCTTGTAAATAGGAAATCTTTAAATGATACATTTACTTCCTCTTTTATGTCACAGAAGAGTAAGGCAGGACAAAAAGGGGGTTTGCTGGAGATTAAAAGTATTCAAATGGTCTTAACAACTGTGAAAAAGCTCAATTAGCACAAATCTAAGTGCTAGTAACAGATAACAAGAGGGACCAGAAGCCATCAGCTCCATCAGCTTCTACTTCAAAACTGGTCATAACTTTTCACATTTGGCACCTTCAAAAGCGGTTGAAAATGTTTTTCAAAATTCCTTTCTTTCTGAAAAGATACTGTCTGTGGAGATACAACATACAACATTTGCAAATCAGCAAACCTGTAGTGTAAGGGATGTCTCTGGCTCATCTTGTACAAAGCAATGCCTGAAACACCACACTATTTCTACTTCCTTATGGTTCTTCTGTCTGAGGAAATGAAGACAAAAACGTTTGTACGTCTCCCCAGCGCACAATCGCTGCCATTCAGATCGACGTCACTAATCAGCTACTTGCAGAGGTGGTGGGAACAGTCAATGCAGACAGACACAGTGTATCTGTATTTAAAATAATCTCCCTGCACTTCTCTGCTATTTTGCTCAGAAAAATCATTATTGAAAAAGCAACAAAAGCCTCTAGTCCACACGCATAAAAACCCAGTCCCTCTTTAAAGAGCAGGCAGTAGCAGATTAACAATTTTGATATTCCCAGGTGACAGAAACTCACAGAGTTAAGGTGGTCAGGGCCTCACAATGGGCTGGTAGAGTAACCCAAGGTCTCGGATACAAAAGCTTTCATGCAAACCTTTTTTTTTCTGAAACAGCACCAACGGGTGGCATCCCTGTGCTTTTAGTCCTATAACACATTATCACTATATGAGATTTATTTCTATGGTTGCAATATCTCAAGTATAAACATCATTCTGTCCTCTGTCTTCTTCCTTTTAGTGCTGGCTCCCATCAGTGCACTGTGAAGCAGTATGAAGGAACAAGTTGCTTTTTTAGTATTACATGCCAGTATCAACAGCTGCTATCCTTACTGTGCCCAGCATGTATCTGAACAAATACAACAGTATGCAACACTGATGTCAAAGAACAGAAAAGCCAATAAAAACTGTCCCTACATGTATCTTGATGCAGTAGCTAATGTGTGCAAGGGACAGAATTATTTTGTAGTCCTCATTGCACAACACAAAAAGAAAAATCCCTAAAGTAAGGGGGGAATGAAGTACACAGTCCCATAGAACTTCAATAGGATTATTGAAATCCAGTGTCTTAAAAAGCCATAGTGAACATGGGACTAGAATTTGAAAAAGGTGATGCGGAAGAAGTGAGAAGAATCTTACTAAGTTCTTAAACCTGAAACAAAGGATTTCCTCCATAAGTTTATATTACTGGAAGGTGTACTTCCCTTTACACTCCAGAACCCTGGGCCTACAGGTTGAAAGGAATCACCTACAGGCAGACCTTCACTGGAACACTTAGATCAACTTTAACCAAATTCAAACAGATGAAAAGCAAAACTGGTCACAACTAAGGAACTGAAATCCTCCTGCCTGACCACAGGGTGTCCTCCTTGCTCTATGCTTTGGCCTCAGATGACCAGCCTCTGCAGGGCGGGAAAAGTTCTTTATTTTAAAAAGCTCAGTTAATGGATCAGAGGTCTGTAGTTTGCTCAGCCCAACCTGCTCGCAATCCTTATGACACAATACACACTAAGGTTACTCTTCCCAAGTTCCTTATGCTAATTATTTTGCCTTAACAGGTGCTGATGTTGCAGTGGTATTTTTGAGCTGGCTAGTCTATCACCCCTTCTCAAGATACAGAACTGGGTTTAGAGTGTGTGACAGGGACCACAAGTTCAGAAAATGCTTTGCATGTTTTTTCTGTCACTGTCATTAACAACCAGAGATGTTTTGGGAAATTGCCTGTTCACATCTCTGCTAATTCAGGATGCTCATGCACATTTCATAATACTTAGTTCACTTAAATTTTCAAACTGATTCTTCTGCTGCTTTGAGGGAATTATTCTGATGGCTAACAGGGATAACATTTAGACCTGAGAGTTATCTTTCATAACTGTGTTGCTTTACTTCCAGTTGCAGCCCCTTCTTCTACCCTAAAAATTCTTTTGCCTTGCTGGGAATTGTCACACCTTTAAAACCTGTAAGCTGCCTCTTTCAGATCTGCTCAAACTGCATTGCTTTGGAAATATGTAAGAATGGTAGGGTGTGAAGGGGCTGAAAATGCAGCTGACAATGGGAATCCCTCCACTGACCATTTACCTGAGGTACTCGTAGAGTCCATACATGGGCAAGAAGTCAATGTCAGACAGAAACATGTATGGTGTGCTGATATGCTTCATGGCCACATTCCTTAGCAGATTCACAGGGTAGAACTGGCCCTCCTTGTACACAATATGGTAGCCAACGTTGTGGCGGCTCATGAGTACTTCTGAGCCCTGGGCGTAGCGTAGAAATTGCTGGGCTTCTGCATCAGAAAGATAGAGTGCCAGGCTGATTGGACCTTCCCAGTGTTTGCAGATAGCTTCAAGCATCTGGAGCCTGGAAGAGGAAGGGTGAGAATAAGAAAAGGCTGTCTGTCTGTCTTAGACTCTTTGCATGGATTCATCTGATCAAATGTAGATACCTAAGCGAGACAGATTAGGGTCACTCCATATGCTGTGGAAGACAACAAATACTTCTACAGCACAATTCATCTAATCTAAGTTGAGGTCTCCTACTGGAGAGATGGACTGCACCCTAGATATGCATACCTCTCCCCACTGAATGCAAGGGAGCCTAAGACAGCCCTATCCCAGATACACACATCCCCAGCTCAGATACCTAACACAACGTGAAATCAATACCATCTTTTCTGCCTAAAACATTGCTGCTGTAGGAAAACTCACACAGACAACGGGACTTCATCTGGTGGGAACTTTGAGCAGTTGCAGGGATCTGTTCATGTAGATCTACTTACAGGATAGGAGTCTCATAAACTTAACCAGTGCCTAGTGACCAATTCACACTGCAGGTCAAGCTCTTCTCACACACTAAGATACTACAGTGCCCTTCAATTCACTTGTAGAGGAGAGAGGTGTACAGATCCACAAATCATTTCACCTCCTGTTCAGAAAAACCTTCCCCAAATTTTTGCAAGGCAGTTAGTCAGATCTTAAAAGCTGTTAAAAGCAATAGATCAAGGGAATACTGACTTAAGTGAACATTTGCATGGACTAGAAAAAAACTCTCTGCCAGGGAAAGGGCAAAAGGATAACACATTTATGGAAATGGGATTTACTATGTGCAGGGAGTAAGGGGAGAAGGAGGAAGAGACATGGCATTGCTGTGGAGTATCAAAAGAACATTTCAGACAAATCCATCATTTAAATTTCTGGTTTGTAAATCACAGAATCATAGAACAGATAAGATTGGAAGGGACCTTAAAGATCATCAGAATTCAACCTCCCTGTGATATGCAGGGACACCTCACATTAGGCCAGGCTGCACAAGGCCTCATCCAACCTGGCCTTAAACACCTACAGAGCTGGGGCATCCACAACCTCCTAGTCTGGAAACCTGTTCCAGTGCCTTACTACCCTCATGGTGAATGTGTTCTCAGTGTCTCAAATTCCATTAAATCATTTTTAAAACAGGGTGTATTGATGTATATTTTTAAAAACTTTCTGCAGTTACAACACTATTGATGAAAATGACAACAAATGTTCACATACAAAAATATAAATCTAACCCAGTGCAGTAAAAATAATTTAAGCACTTTGGGTAATTTATAGAGAATGGCCTAGAGATTAAGATATGCCAGAAAAAAATACAGCAAAGACTGATTACAAAGCCTCTTGAGTTAACACAAAGGGAAATGAACCTATACAGCCTAGCCAGATATTCTCTTAAAAATTAGGAAGAGTAGACTATGCAACACGATTATCTTCTCTCCCTTCCAAATCCACATTACTATTAATATTTATACAGAACACAATAAAAGTTTTCTGCATCACTGTAATCAAAGAAAATAGTTTCTCCCTCCTACTACCTGCCTAAACTTTACAGCTGAAAAGAATGATATACCAGGAAACACATTCTGATTTAACATTAATAGCTTTTTTCCCACATTTCTGAATGATCATGATGACATCCAAGACAAAAGAATAATTTTTTTCTTAGATATGAGGTATTACTTTTACTAGTCTACATCTGGTACATTATTTTCTTTTTATGTATTATTGAAACAAAGGTTATTATCATCCTGAGACATACAGCTGAATTAGAAACACAAATGGATAAACAGAATCTAAAAAGTATGTGAAGGCTTTTGATTGTACAAATAATAAACAGAGAAAAACACTCCTTGTTTTTTGGGGTTTTTTTGCCTTTTTTCAACATAGTGGAAACCTTTTAATCAGGAGATTCCAATTCATCAGCACTCAGATTGAGGGCAGCCTTTTAAGAAAGGAATCCTTGCCTAGCAAGAAATGCAGCAAAATGCATTCAAGGACTCCAAGCAGTGGACAAATGGCTTATTTAAATGGCACTTATTGGCACTTATGTAAATGGAATCACTTATTTAAATGGCACACCTGAAAATGCCTGCAAAGCGTCACATGATAGTTAAGTGGAAACTGGGTTTTGCTGGTATAAATTTCCAGCTGGACAGCTTAGGGCCCTTCCGAATATCCTCTTTGCTGTGTCGTTCTCATTAACAGGCTCCACTTCCACGTGTTTGATCCAGAGACTACTGGGTGGTGCTCCATGATCTGCTCTCTGTAGGTTGTTACGATAGCGTCCTTAGACCATAAAACTTAGAATTATGATTTTCTAAGCTCAATATGACCAATTTATTTTGGTTTTGTTAGCACTCTTGATAAATGTCTTCTCTTAAGGACTCTAGAGAAAACAAATACACTCCTGTACTGCATAATAATGAGGTCATAATTTAGTTGGTAAATTTTTCTAAAGGTCTTTTTCAGTCAAGAGAATTCTGCTGGAATTCAATAGTTTCACAAGACAATTTCTTTCCACTTTTCTTCATAAAAAAACTTAACCACTTTAGAACTCATTCACATCCAGACTTCAAGCAGTGTAATGCTCATCCTATCTTTCCTTGTCCACATCCTCATCTCACATTTTTGTAACTCCTACTCTGATTTCTGAACCCCATGCCTTTAAAAAGGCTGCCTAACCATGTGTGAAAACCACAGTGATGCAACCAAGCCATTATCTAAGAAAAAGTCACATCAGCATAAAAGGTGACAACCAATAATGAACAACACGGGACAATGTCTATCTCAGCTTGTATCTAAAGACATTAACGTCAGCTCCTAACTGCATCCCCTTTCTTCCATTCCAAGCACAGACAAACATAAGCCTGCCTCAGTCTCAACTCCAACAGGACTGTAACTGGAGACACTGGGAGCAGCTTCTTTGCCTTTCCTCACCTTGGATGATCGTTCGAAAGAACGATGCAGAAAAGTAGAGCATAGCACAATGTTTGTATACATGCCATCTTACATCTGAGACATTGTTCTTAAATGTCTATAGCTACACTGCAGAAGCTTAATGAAAGTGGCTTAAAGAAGATAAATAAATAAATAAAAAGCAGTAACTGAAAGATGTGAAAGAAAACAAAGCAGCTAAACAGTTCTTTGGTATGGTATTATTTATTGATTTTAGCTGAAAGAAAGCATTTCAAACTCAAATCAATAATTTATAGCAACACACCAACAAAGTGAGGAAGATCTTTCCTGCACAGTATCAAGAGGGCTGTTCTTCCTGAATAAAAATGTGTGGTTCTGTCTATCAATAAAAACATGTGTCCCAGTGAGGATCCAGAAAGAGAAACAGATGCTCAGACTTTGCATCAGTGCCAGTGAATCAGCACTAAGCTCCAGCTCATTCTTTTGAATTCAGTTCTGGGGGGAAAATATACCACGTGCACAGACAAGCTTTGCTAATTTACTGTGGCACTTGCTCAGGGTCTGGCTTGATTTCTTTCTTTCTTTTTTTACTTAAAGATTTGTGAACACTTAAGAAATGTTTCCTCAATTAAAAACCAATAGAACAGACACTGATATGCATAGCAAATCGTAAGACAATGTGCAGGATGGATGCAGTCTTAAGGCACTGGTGAAACAGAATAGCCTTCATTTACTCGTGTTTATTTTTAAAACACGCTGTAAATGTTCTATTAATCTGAATTCCTCTGACTGGAATAGTGTAGCAGTGGTAGTATCCATGGGTCATGTTGTATTCTGTACATGCTCAGCTAAATAAAATATTAGTTTCTGGCTAATATTCAAGGAGTTCTGACCTGTTTTATAACCTACTCTGATAGCAGTAACTACAAAGCTTGGACTGGATTCAAACTGAGAAGCAGGAGGGAAAAGGAGACTGACAATGTAAAATTTTACAAAGCTGGCTGATCTGGACTGACATTCAGACATTCTGAAAAATGACAACTCATTGCAATAGAGGGAAACAGACAGGTGCAGGTGGAACTTGTCACTAAATGGATTTTCTTCCCCAAAACTTCACTTTACATCAGAACTGAAAGTTGCAAAGATTTAAACCAGAAATGTTATTCTGAAAATCAACATTTATTTAAAAATGCAATGACTCCTTTCAAAAGGAGATTTTTCATTTCACACTAGCATATTAAAAAAGCCAACAATGTATTATTTTCAATTTCCCAATTTGAAACTAGAAACTTGAACTATTTAGTTTTGCTTTTTACTATAAGAAAAATCACTGACTGAAATCTTCTGCAAGGAAAATGCCAGTGAAAGCAAAACTAAGATAGTCCAATGGGGAAATACTGTGAGTAAGAACTTGGACAGCTACAACTGCTTGCCTAAGTCTATTACAAACATCTCCTGTTTTTCTAAGTTGCTACAAAACTCCATAAACTAATAATGCCTGACAATCCTGACAAGTAACAAACCCTACAGCTGCAGTTTTCTACCTCTCTAGACTCGTGTGTGCACTGCAGAGCTGGTCTGGATGGCTGATGAACAGAGATGTTCCCTACCTGTCCATGGAAAGCTGAGCCACCAGTGTTACATCAGTGCTGTCTGCAGCTGGCTCGTACTCGTAATGTAGAAAATACAAATGGGTGCGATGGACGGTGAAACGTTCTCGACGGAATTCATAGCATAAGTCATCCTCGTCCAGCTCAGACAGCTGTTTCTGGAGCTGTAAGGAAAGAGGGGACATAAATATGAGATTTTTGTAATTATTTTAGCAAATCAGAGAGAACGCGGAGGTTGGCAACTTGCAGCATGATGCAATGGAGAGTGGAAGTTGAACAGAGAGTGCAGCAGGGCTTTCCCAAGCCTCACTCCTGCACGTCACTGGACAAGAGATTAGCAGAAAGAACTTGTAAGTAAATTGATAGGGCAGACAGATCATTCTATTACGGTCCATATATTGTATATATTATCTGTATTACATCTTTCCCCCATAGAAGCTAGCAACGAAACAGTGAATAATCACAAGTTTAATAATCATCAAGTTTCAGAGTTAATGCTCCAACGTGATGCATAATGTCATTCCTTATAGGAAGCAGTGTTTCAAACTATTTGTAAACACACAGCTCCAGCAGACAAGACTCAGCAGCAGATTAAGCTTGTATGCTGGAGTGAGAATTCCCTTCCGCTGCCTCTGTTGGAGAACAGTAACTGTTGCTAGCAGCATAGACAGACAGCTGAAAAGTAAAGCTTTAACTGACCATTATTCTGTCTCTTGAGATTTATGTATCTGCACCACTTCAATTTTGCAATAAAAATAGTCTTTCAACTGCAGAGGTGCCAGAACTAAGCCTATGCTTTTAAAGGGACTTAACACTTCTGGGTACCTGGTTTGAGAAATCCAGAGAATGGCAGATTGGCAGAGAACAGCTATTTTTCAGACTCCCTTGGAAACTAAGCCCCTTCAAAGTCAAAACAGGCATCTCAAAGGAGTCCAATCACAAGTCATTTAGACACGTAGATTTAACAGACTAAAAGTTTAGTTCTTGTGAAAGAAGGAAGAGAAAAACTGACCAAATATCTGTGCAGCTGACCAATTCTATCCCTGAACTATATTATTTTAAAGTCAAACATCTAACTAGATTGTTTAAAATGCATTTATTTAAAAGGAACAATCAGTCATACTTGATGTAAAATGTACTACAAAATGTAATGAAGATGAAAATTATATATGGTCTTAATATGTCAAAGAGAGTTTTGCTTGTGTTGCTTTAAAACGTAGGATATTAATAAAGGTAGCATTTTTTTATATTTCATTTCTTAAAAGCATCCTATAAGACTATGATTGCTTATTTATCAGTAAAGAAGAAAAATATTTTCTAGGAAATTTACAAGTTTTTATAGAAATCACAGAACCCTTCAAAACTATTTAATGCAACAAACAGATTATTAAATTACAGGCATTCATTTAGATTTTAAAATCTCTTTCTTGTGTTATGTTCAGAATGATTTAAAGTAATAGCTTCACCATCTTCAAGGAAAAAAATGGAAAAGGTACATGTTTCTTCTTCTAATACTGTGTTAAGAAGAAAAGCTGTTGTTCTTGGAACTATAAGCATAATGGTTGTCATCAACAATAATGCTTACAGCTGAATATTCTCCTGTGAAGGCTGATGGAATAATTCCTGATATTTTCTTGTACATCACTCTATAATCTTCTTTTGAATAATGGAAATACCTCCTTTGATTTCAATGAGTTTTGGATTCCGCTCTCATTCTTCTGTGATATTGTTCTGCACAGATCTTAAAACATCCCTCAAGAGAGACTGCTTTTAGAAAGATAAGAGTTGGAATCCTGACAAATCTTTACTCAGGCAAAACTTCTATTGAAATCAAGATCTCTTTCAGTGGAACAGAAATCATGACTTCTTTTATGTCTTCCTGGAATTTCATTCATTCTGCCTTACAATTCATCATTCAGCTGAGCCTGTACTTTATTTTCCAAGTCATATTCAAGCACTATTTGAATTAAACCAAATATTTAGAACAATTACTAAAAATAATACTGTATCTTTCTGCTTCTTCCTTGGAAAGATACATTAGTATGCCCTTAATAGAACTATCAAGTAGATTATTAAAATTTAAATTGTTTAAACAATAGAAAAGCACATTTTAGGGGTACCTTACCATCCTGCTGTATGTGCAAATGACCAGGCTAGAAGTTTACAGTTGCACAGGAGCTATTAACCAGGCAGTCACTGAATGATTATCAGATTACATTCAGGTTGCAAGCTAAGAGGATATAAATACTTAATTATGAGTTACAGAGTAACTTTTGGGGCTAAATTATGGCTTTGCAATAGAGAGCGTTAGGTGGGGGAAGAGGAGGAGAGATAATTTATTAGAGGCCCCAGTATTTTGATGGTGAAACTCACCACGTCACAAAGTTGGTGATGGAAGAGAAGCAGCGAACAGCAGATAATCCCTTCTGCTACCAGGAAAGGGAAATCTTGCTCTTTCTGCTGCATTTCCTAGAGTCAGGATTTTGTCTCTATCTTGACAGACTTTTTCTGAGCCTGCAGATGTGCGTGGTTCTCCCTGGCACTTGACATGACTCATGATCAGTACTGGAGAGCAGAACTTGTGGTGTGGGAAAACACCCCAAGTTTTGCCCATCTTTCACTTTAAAAAACGAGATAAAAGGAAAAAAGAGGCATACCAGCATGAAAAAAACCCCAACATTCTAGTCCACCTGACCCCCATCTAGCAATACTAAAAGCAGTTGAAAGTGGTATAATGGCAACTTGCAGGCATCTAATGGGATGGGCTACCAGCTCAGCATTTAATACCAGTAAGTTACAGTAATAGAAACAACACATCTGGGGAAGTCAGGATTTCACCTGAAAGATGCCACATACTATCTGTTATTACCAGAGAAAGACACAAAATAGTAACTTTAAAACCTACTACTACAGACGATGCAGTATTCTGAAATTCTGCAGGAGCAAAGGGTACTCAAAGCATCAGACTGACTGCAAGTTCAGCACCCTGACAGTGACTCACAAGCTCCCTCTGTATGCTATTTTAGGACACTCAAAAATTGCTGAATTTGTTAGTAGAGTTTATACCATGGGGTATATTGCTAGAATCTCCTGCTTTTCTAGTATGCACAGCCGTTTGCTAGTATTAAGAATCACTGGTTCTGCACAAAAAATAAGTAAAAACACATTCAGTAAGAAAGTGTTTGGAGGGAGAACTAGATTTCTTTTTACACTGTTTCTTTATATTGTTGATTTGAAAATCCGAATACAAAAATCTGGCAATTTTTTTCCTGTGCTTTCGGTAAGCCTTCTCTAATGGGAATCTACTGTCCTTTTCTTAAACTGAATGAAATCAGTGATAAACTTCCCACTGATCTTGCTTTGGGCTTTGGATCAGGACACAGGCTTCACTAATAGAGGACACCCCATTCAACCTTCAGATTTAATGCTTTGGCAGAAGTACCTGGTGAGAAGTTGTCTGCAGGAAAGAAGTTTTATGAACATGCTAAAAGGTTAAGTGTGTGCCTGTGTACTAAAATCAGGCTTAAAATATCTATGTTACAAGGCAACTATAGAGATAGGCTGATACACAGATGATCCCACTGAAATATTTTAGCCTTTATGGTAGGCACTTCAGAGTGAAGTGCTGGATATGAGCATTAAAAGGCAATAGGAAGAATTCAGATTTGAGATTATTGTGAGCTTCGCCTTCATGAGTTTCCTTGAAAACTTCTGCATTGCATCAAAAAAAAAGAAAGAAGGAGTGAGAAGGGGGAAATAGCACGGAATAAGTAGAATGGACTGACTAAGGCCACTTGAGTCAATGGCTGTGTTTACAAGACATTTGGTTCATATGCTGAATTTCCTATCCAGAATCTGCACAAAAGGCAAAGGAGTAATTGTAAAAACAATTTGAAGAGATGAGTCTGCTCTGGGTAATCATTTTAGTACATATTGAATAAAGGGGACTTAGAGTACTGCTCTATGGCAAGGAGCATGTGGCAGCTCCTGTCCACAGCCAGGCCCTGCAACATACAGAGTCTTCCAGCTTGAACGTTTCAAGGGAGGGATGAAACACAGACATACATATCAGCATTTAAAAAAAACCCCAAACAAACAGAAAAAATACCCTTGTCTGTAGTTTTTTGACCCCAATATTTCAGTTTCAGAGCCCTATCTGTTTTGTTTTTTTCCCATTTGTAACATTTTGGAACCTAATGACAGTGCTGTTTGGCGCAGCTGAAGATCAACAACTGACTAGATCAGGACTATGCAGATGAGATCCAAAGACTACCTTAGGCATCTTAAAATTCAGTCTGGTATTATACTTCCTTAGCAAACTTTAAAAAACCAAAAGTACTAATCCTGCACACATATAGACACATATTTAAGCATACATGCACATGCACACATCTGCAGAGGAGAAGCGAGAGAGATCAATGTGAAGTCTAACTACCATTTAAACTAATGCCCTTTACATCTCTCTGGCACTGTAAAGAGTGCTTAAAAGGGGAAGATGCATAATTTACATTCATTTTAAGGCCATCTCAGTACTGATGAGAGGAAGGGGTACTGAGTACCCCTGAAGGAGTATTGACCGTAAAGGGGCCTTACAGTTACAGAACCAGCCCAACAGCACCCACTGCCACACCTCCTTTTCACATTTTACCAATGTTTGCATTACAAATAGCATTCCTTAATCACAGGTTGCATTCTAAAGAAAACATAATTACAAATATTAAACTGTAGAGAAGCAATGGCTGGCATATTGGAACAACAGCTTAAGGGTAGATTCTGATACAGCCAGTGACAAACCACTGCTTCTTCCACAACAGGACATTTAGGGCTTAAGTAATATTGCTTATAAAACCAGGAGAGCTATTCCGACATTTTTTTCCCCTGGTCCACAGTACAGGCAAGGACAGGCAGCTGAAGGAGCACCTTTTACCCATATATAATGCCTAGCATAATAAAGTCCAATTGTAGTTTGGGGCTGCTAGTTGCAATTCAGAGAAGAAAGGAAAAATAATAGGTATTAAGATAAATCAAATAGCAATTCCTACTTTGTACATGAATTTGAAGAAATTATAGCCTTTTGTGGAACATGTATGCTTAGGAATTCTAATGGAAATGTATGGCTGCCCCTTGTTAGATTGAAGGTCTGTCTAGCACAGCATCCTGTCTCCAGCTGTGAGCTGGCTGCACTGAGAGGAGTGTTAAAAACAGGGCGAGTGCACAGCTTTCTCAGAACGCTCCCCTAGTTCTCAACTTGTGCTTCAAGGACTTTCTGACTGATTTTCTGACTAACTTCTGAGCATACGTATATTTCTGGCAACATTACCTCTTGCTCAAAGCTTTATTACATCGTAGGTGAAGTGTCTATCTTTGTTTTCAACCTGCTACTTGCTATTTCCACTTCATGCCCCCTACTTCTTGTACTGGAAGGAATGATAAACACTGGTTCCCTGCTCATCTTACATGATGCTCTGCATCTGAAGATTATCTTGCAATACATCATGGGAATGAGTTTTATTTTAATAGGACACTTGTGATGCTGTATGTGCTGCAGCAGTCAGTGAGTGAAAGAGTGGTTTTCATGATCATCCTATTCTTAGTGTCTCATAACTTCAAAGCTGAAACTTGCTTTTTCTGTTCTACAATAAAAAGCACATGGTCAGGTTTAGAGGGGCACTTACATTAGGGGTAACTAGTAAAAACTAATGTCTTCTTCTAAGTGACTGCTCTTAAGCTATTTGAAGTGTGTGTTGGCAAGTTAGGATTTACATTTTTTTGTATGTCTAGCTCATTCTTTTCCAGTATTTTTTTTTTCCAATTTATAAATGGAAGAATGAGTTGGATTTCTTTTTCAGACACACGCCATACCATATACCATATTGCATTCTACTTGTCTTGAATAAGAAACAGGCTTGAACAGTTAGTCATTTCCAGTGTCTGTCAACTAGATACAAGTTCAGTAAAATGAGCCATTTTAAACTTTCAGGACTGCCATTTTCAGCAGCGAGAATTTGCATTCACTGTGCACTGCTCCCCAGCAACTTGTTGTAAGGAATAAATCTATTTATTAAGGATTTACAGAGCTCTGGAAAATATAGCAGCAATTCTGTGACTGCATTCACACTCTTTGAACCCACACAACATATTGTGAATTCAGTATAATTTTAACCTGCACTCTTAAAGTATGATAAAGATGTGTTTTGTGCTGTTGTCTTTTTTTTTTTTTAATGTCTCACTCTCCTTTTCTCTTCCTATCCTGCCCTCTACTCTGTCTATTGCATTTTGATGTCTCTGACAATCAGATTCCTAGTGGTCTTTTATCACATTCAGTTCACTTGATTGTCTAAAAGCCTCTCATTTTTGCAGAGGATTTTCTTTTTCCATGTGCTCTCACTGTTCACTCGCTTTTTCTCTCTCTGATCCCTACTTCAGTCTCTCCCAGTTAATGTTTATCTCCAATTTCTCAATGTTCCCTACTTTCAGAAGACATTGAGATGGTCAAGTAAGTCTCTGTGAAGTCATGCTTTGGGCTACAAGTTATCTATCCAGCCTCTGACTGCTAGAGAACAAAGTTGGGAATGGCATCTCCTGTGATCATTTTATCCACAGACCAAATGGGAACACTACAAGCCTCAATGATGCTACTGATTGCCAATTATTCCTTAACTGCTAATGTGCACATGTTATTGGCTTTGCTTTATTGATTTTTATACAGAGAAAGCTGTATATTTTAGAATTATTTTTTTTCTTGAAGATAACATAAAATGTTACAGGTTCATTTTTATTTCCTTTCAGATTATGTAGCCAAAATTGACACTTGGTCTAGAAATCTCCAGAGATCACATTATACACAAGGTGTTTATATACATCTGTGTATAAACACCCTTGATTTCAACCATTTTCAAAGAATTTGCTTCACATGAAAGGTTCTGATTACAGATTTTATACATGCTGCTGTGCTTGGTTAGGGGTAGTGCAGAAAAAACCTGCAGTCTCACAGCTTATGTATACCTTGAAGTATTTATTCATTCTACAGTTTGCAGCAAGGCAAAACCTCATAGACCTAAATCCAGCAGTCTTGATATTTTCATTTTTTCTCTATTACTTGTGTATTAGTATCTGGTAGCCAAAATTGTCATCACTGTATGCTGAACAAACACACAGCAAGAAACAAGCCCTTCACCTGGACAGTTTTAGGTCCAAGCGTGAGATTTGCAAGATTTCCTAATGGAATCAAGAGACTAAATCCTTATTTTCAGTTTTTAGTATTACCTTTCTGGGAATCTTTAAGAAGCGAGGTATTAAAAAAACCCAAACAAAACAGAAACAGGGGAAAGGCAAGATTAATTACAATGGTTTTACAGGGGAGGAACTGAGGCAGAGAGAGATTAAATGACTTGCATAATGTCACAATTAGAATCTCAGCAGTGACTGAGTCCCTCTGCAGTCCACTACCTGCACTACCAACTCTCCACATCTTCACATAGCCTGTACATTGCATGAATCACCCTTAAAACTGTCAATCACTTACATTTTCACTGTTAACATCTGCCTCACTGGGGCAGCCAAAGAGTTCCCGTCTCAGTAAATTCCCATCATATTCCAGGAATGTCAGGTAGAGGTTGCGGAAAAACTCCACGTGCTTGTTTTTCACTCGCAGCTTCTTTGGGGAGTTCCAGTGAATCACCTCGGAGGGAATAAAAGAGAAAACACACCCTGCTGTTAGAATACAGTTTTGCTTTATCTGCTCTTTTTATGCATGTTCAGTTTGTTGCTCTCTTAAAAACAAAAAAAAACAACCCCAAAACTAGACAGAAATCCTTCTGTCTTTTTATCAGGAATGCTTCACCACATCTTTCACAAGTAACTGCACACTCTACAGGTGATGTGCTTTGAAACTCCTCCATAGGATAACCTAAGTTAGGGTGCTGCTCTGCTTTATGATACAACACCTCATAAAGGCTGCCACAACTCTGATGACGGACCTGATTGGTCAGCGACTCTCTCTTGAAGAAGGTGGCAGGACGAGGAACACAAAGATCTAAGTATTAAACATTAATCTCAGATTTTCACATGACTGTTTCAACTAATGGAATTGATTCACTGGTTCAGGCCAAGCAGATTCTTCTCTGGTTAGGTATTGAGAAGAAAAAGCTTGAAAATAATTCCTATACTCATTTACAGCCTTCAAAAAGGACTGAATTTAACGTGACTTCCTTTTTGCCATTGCTTCATTTAACCAAGACTGATCTCAGTTGTACTACATAACATAGAGATGCAGTACAGTGCTTCACCCTTTGAATTCCAGCTTCTAGCAGGTATTTAGCCTCTGCTAATGGGAGAAGACTCTCACATCGGCCTAGATTTAACTCTAACTCAGACATAAAGGGCCTGATTCTCATTTGCATCAAGGCAACTCTGCACTGCTGCCAGTGTGAACAAGAATGAGGCCCCAAGGAAAAACTAAGAGGAAGCCAAAAGTGTCTTGCAGGAATTATTTCCTTTTATAGAGGCTGTATTTCAGGCATGAGGAAAAAACTCCAAAATCCAAACAAAAAAACATCAAATGCTTTGTATTCAGTTTTATTCCTGTGATTTCTAAAGAGATTTAAAAAAGAATAAATTATCCCTTCAGAATATTTCCAAGCTAGGAGTTCTGGAGGTTCTCTGCATCCATTAAGTTAATTGTGTGAAGGCATTGTGTTACTTGCACACAGCCAGAGAGCTGCAACACCAGCTGCTGAGCTGGTCACAGGGTAAGCTTTCCTCTAGACCTTGTATTTGTGGGAAGGAACACTCAGAGGCCAAGTGCAGCACGTAGAACAGAAGGAGCCCAGAGCAGATGAGCGCAGTTCCTTTGGTGTCAGCAACACAACTCCACAGGAACAGGGAGCCCTCTGAAATCGCACTGTCTGCTGTTGAATGAGTGGACTAGAGGAGGGAAAGAGTAGGACGTAGCCTGAATTCTTCCTGTACTAACTTCAGCAAACAGCACAGTCTCTGAGTATTTATAGTGCCATAAAAGCTATGGCAGTCTCTTCTATATACCCAATACCAATGAAAATATCTCTTGATAGGCAAAGCTTTATACCTTCCTGGGATTTCACTGCTGAGGCAAGAAGGATGTCAGAAAACCATACATGCAGTTACAGAAAAGC